TTAAATAATGACCTGCGAGTTGTTAAACAGTCAACCCGCCAGCACTCCTGAGTGAGGGCTTAGTAAACTACCAGAGCTTGCTTTCATCTTTGCAGCTAATCACGCCCCTTTCAAAGCAGATTTTAACCCAGGCTTTGCTCTATATGGAAGCCACATTCAGGGGGATTTTAAGGGCCCATCCCACCAGCATCCTCAGTTTTGGGGGTACCCATTAGGGCACTAATGTTCTCTCCTAAAGCAAGTGAACCAGAATGCTTTGAATGTAGAGTTGCTTGAAATGTCATTAATAGGTTTTCCTCCCCCTTTTCCATCCTTTCCCCAGACTTCTTTCTCTACCAAAATATCATTCTCGATTTACAGGTGGCTTCTAAGTATAACTTTTCACTGAGTCACTCTAAACGAGTTTATGAGAGGAGGCCTCTATGCCCCAACTGTGAGGCATTTAGGGTCCAAGATAACATCTCGGGACTGGGTCCTCTTACATTTCTAGCCTTGCAAACTCATTTTTGATGACACCCTTTAAATGGTGTTCATGGCCATTTTTTTCCTTTCTGACCAAGCACTGGGATCTCACTGTGATAACTGTGGGCTGTATGTTACTCGATCGGGGTAATGTAGAATAATTACTGGCCCATTGCACTTCATTACACCACTGTAATCGGTGGAGGCTTGATGTTTCAGTTATAGCTGCTCTGAGAATTGAGCTGACATGGATACTGTGATAGGAATGATAGGGCGAGGGGGCCCCCATGCAAATGGCGGAAATCAGCATGCGGCCAATAGGTTCTGAAATGCAATATGCAGCTCAGCCCAGGACATCTGCTTTGTGTCTCTCATTTTCTCTCGGAAACAATATGATCATGGAATAAATGAGTCCTTCAACTTGTATTATGCCTTATAAAAGGTCATTGAAATGCCAGAGAATGTTAAATACCACGGAAATATTTGGAGAATAACATTCCATGGTACATCATCTAATTGTTTTAACGGTCAGTTTCATGGGCCCAGTAGACACCCTCCTTCAGTATAGATCAATCTGTAGATAGCTTTTTAATATTTACCTGGTATAAAACAATGATCGACCATCCAGACTTGTAAAAGGACTATAGAGTCACCATATACTTTATCATCTGAAATAGGGCACTTTAGAGAGAATGGAGTTATATTAATAATTACACTGGGACAGGGGCATAAATTTGGACTGTTACCAGGAAAATGAGGCCTATGGCACCCAAGACATAGGGCACAGCTATGATCTTTGTTCACTATCCTTTTCCTTACAGCCAAAGCTAGTGTCACCTGGAGAGGACAAAGGTTATGAGCTTGGCCCTTCAGCCCCCTGGCTGGGTGAGATGCATCCCACCGGCCCTTCTAGTCCAGCAAGGAGATGTTAACATAGGCCTGGAGCTTCTGAGAGAAATCTAGGGTAAATATAGAGATGAGGGAGTCATCCCTGCAAATGGGCATGTATGGATACCTTCAGGGGAAAGCCCCACCTTGGCAAATATCATTATGGAAGCCATGGACTGAAGAGGAGGAGCCTTGGAAGCAGGAGGGGGAAGAGTCTAGAGAAAGGAGACCCAAGACAGTGCAGGATCATGTGAGGTGAGAGACGGATGCACAGACATTCATCGGATCTGCCGAGAGGAGAGTATGGCGGCCAGCATCCCCCAAGGTGGCCTCCAATGGTGCTACCTCCAGGTATTCACATCCTGTGTGGTGTCTCCCACACCACTAGGGACGACTTATGTAACCAGTAGGATATTGCTGAAATGATAGAGTGTGACTTTTGAAACTAGGTCATTGAAGACACTGCGGCTTCCCCATCCTTTCCCTTTGATCACTCGCGTGTTATGAAGACACTCAAGCAGTCCTGTGGTGGGGTCCTCATGGTGAAGAGCCGAGGGCCCCTGCCAAGGACAGTGGCAGTGAGCCATCTTGGAAACAATCTGGTTACAAAGAATATGTTCCCTTTAGGTTTCCCACAAGCAATGTCCACCAGCTTCTTTTCAAGGAAATGATACTGTAAGATGCCACTAACAATATGATTTAAGACACTGTGTGCAAAAATCTGCCTTATTACTTTATAGCCATGCTTCTCGTTTTCCAGGGAAATAGTTTGAGCCTCCTTTTAACTTTTTGTCCCCCATCCCACATTTTTCTATAGATAAAGTTTTATGGCACGGGACAACCCATATAAAATGCATCCACAATAATTCCTTTAAGTGGGTCAATTTGTTCAGGCCACCTGGAATTACTGGATGATGTCCAAATGGCATAAACCTTTTCTGAAAGACAACTGCAGTGTCATCACGTGATCCGAATCTGTTTGACTGAAAAAAAATGGAGGCATGGCTGCATGGCCCTGCCGGAGTTTTCTGACATTCACTTCCTTTGAAGAACAAAACTGTGTGTGGCATTTGCAGGGTGAGCTGAGTTTTCTCTATTAGCTTCGTCCAGACCCAGACCCTCCCTTTGCCCTGTGTTTCCCTGGCTAAATCACATCCCTGATCCACTCTAAGTCATGAATTAATAAAGAATCAACCAACTGCCCTATCTGGAGAAGCCTGTTTAATCTTTCATGGCTGGCGCCAGGAAGGATGCCCTTTGAATGGTTATTTCTTTTCTTTTTATTCCATCCCCCTGAAGAGTTGATCAAAACAAATGCTGTCTCATTTTCTTATTTTGTTTTGTTTTGTTTTTTTCAGGTAATTTTAAAAATACTTGGTTTTACAAAATGAGAAAGGAGGGGAGGAAAGCAAACATTCAGGGCTGCTGTATAGGTTGTGCACTTTACAAGACGTGCAGTAAAGGAGGGGTGTGTGGCTAAAATCCAGACCCCACTCCACTTGTCTAAATGTGGGCCCTGGCCTGGGGCCACGTCCATTGAGAGGAGAGGCACCTATTGGCTAGTCACATGGAAGCCTGTCTCGGGTAACACCGGTCCCACCAACATCATTTCTTTCCTCCTTCTTCTCTTTGTCTTCTCTTCTCTTTTCACCTTAGCAAAAATCCTATATGAAGTCTCTTGTAGTTTGTTTTCCTCCCCGAGGAAAGGTTAATTCTTGTAGCCGTAATTCATTTACAGGAAATTAGACACAGGAGCAGTTGGACGTCCGAGATAATTTGAAAAGCCCCTTTGAAGATCTTTCCTTCAGGTTCACTAAAGGCCCTGTCCCCAGCCTGAATTCCTGATGGGGCCTCAAGGCATCACACAAGTGTGTACCCTGTGGCGAGACTGGTATCCAGGGAAGGGTTGACTGGGGCAGGACACCCACGTTGGAATGTCTGGGGGTAACTAGACAGGACTGGGGTTCAGAATTGACTTTTCTCAGTATTCCCTGCTCTTCCCATCCTCAAACTCTTCCTTCCAAGGGTTTTAATGAAGCTTTTTAATGTTTGGTGTCAGCCCAAGATGTTGGGTCATTTTTCATATTCATATAGCATCACTATCTCCAGTTTATCTGTCATTAATAGGGCCAGAGGACAGAAATCCACAGATAATTCAAAAGTTCTTGATAAAGGCAAGTTTTCATTTTCTCTCCTATATTTCTTAGTCGGAGCAGGCACAAGCCATGGAAATGACACATTTGAGTTTTACCCTGGTCCTTCTCCATCTCCTGCCATGGCGAGAGCCGTGGGCTAATTTAGGAAGGTTGCTATATTTTATTGTCTTCACGACATTATATTTTCTTCTCTTAAGAGCAGCATTATGTAGAATGGTCTGGAGTCGATTCCTCATTTTAATTTTCCTAACAGGCTGGGAAATGTGAAAAGCCTTGACTGTGACCAGGGGCTAGTCATACAGCAGAAATGCAAAGTCTAAACTCCATGCGATGTTGCTGCATTTTGTTTGTTTAGTCCGCCCCCTCCTTCCACTCCCCCCATTTTTCCCTGTGTGATTGGAGTTGCTCGGAGCACAGGAATCACCTTCATGAAATGCTTACTGTCCCACACAACATGATGTAGTAGCGATGACAGGTGACTGGTCTCTAAGCCAGTATCTAAGGTTGTGCTGGCTTCAAAACTTTCTTTTTGGCTTAGCATTATTAGTTTCTCATCTCTTTTCTAAACTCTTTGGCAGGGAAATTATTCTTAAAAGTTCTCAAGGACAGGCAGACATTGGAATATTATTCAACACTGAAAAGATATGCGTTATCAAGCCATGAAAAGACATGGAAAAAACTTAAATGCATATCACTAAGTGAAAGTAGCCCATCTGAGAAGACTACATACTGTATGATTCCAATTATATGACATTCTGGACAAGGCCAAACTATGGAGACAATAAAAAGATCAGTGGTTTTTCAGGGATGGGATGGGGGAGGGATAAATAGGCAGATCAGAGAGGATTTTTAGGGCAGTAAAAATACTCTGTATGATATAATAATGTATTCATGTCATCGTACATTTGACTAAACCTATGGAGTGTACTATACCAAGAGTGAACCCTAAAGTAAACTTTATGGACTTTGGGTGATTATGATGTATCATTGGTTCATCCTTGGTAAAAAATGTACCATTCTGGTGAGTAGTATTGATAATGGGGGGGGCGCTAGGCATGTGTGCAGGAAGGGGTGTATGAGAAATCTTTGCACCTTACTTTCAGTTTTATTGTAAACCTAAAACCACTCTAAAATGTTGTCTTAAAAAAAAAGTATTCAAGGAACTAAAGCTAAAGGACATCTACACTGTGACTCAGCCCACACCTGGGTACATGATGACAGAAGTGAGTGCCTGTGTCCACAAGAATGTTCACAGAAACTTGATTCATAAGAGCCAAAAGCTGGAAACAACCCAAATGTCCACTGACAACAAGAAATTGTGCTAGATGTGCAATGGAATACTACACAGCAGTGAAAATGAACAGATCATTGCTACAAGCAATAATGTGGAAACATCTTGCAAACACACTGAGCAGATTCCCAGTGGGCTTGTAGCTTTGCCTTTAACCCGGGTCCACTGCTGGAGGCACTGATGCCATACCTTTCTCTTACCAGCATCTTTCCCCCAGGTGCCTGAGTCTCATCTGCCACACCCACAGTCATGGAGCATCATACGGACGGATCTTCTTGAACCATGTTGTGTGACCTGCCTATGAGAAAGCCCACTACCTGGAGCCTCTTATTGTCATGCCCATTGCTTGATGGACCCCCTGATTGCGAGCAGGCCCCTCTGACACCATACATCCATATATTGCACTTCTGGGCCTCTGAGAAACAGACCTACAGGTGGGTCACTTCACTTACGTACTGGCCTCAGCTTCCTCTCACTCCCCATTGTGTCATGTTGACAAGACCCCAACCACACAGTGCACTCCCCCAACCCAGACTGGGACAGTTTACCCCCACCAGCTGCTGTATTTCTGATATGCCCATTATCACTCAGAGTACTAAAGAAAACCCAGATCTTTCGTTAAACACCATAAGACCTAGAGTGTACAATGAAATGTATATTAACACTTTCTTTTGAGCTCTTTCTTGTGGCATTTCTTTGGAGAGGAAAATCTCTTTTGCAACTGCCCATTAACCATTCATGTTTTGAGGCACGGGGAGGAAAAGGAGAAAGGAGAAAAGATAAAGGGATAATGCCCATGAGACAGTCCACTGGACAGGTTCACCACGACGTGAAGCGTTTCAGACATATTCGATCTGTCTATAATTTTGTTATTCATGAGACATAAAGGGAGTGAGAGAGCAAAGTAAACACAGCTACTTAGGAGATGGATGGAGCACACAAAGAGAAACGAAGCCACAAAACACAGCAAAAGAGCAGAGCATTATAGGCAGAAAAATTACATCTGGATTATTCTGCTTAAATAGAAGAAACATAAATCACACCAAGGGGCTCATGCAATGTGCACTGGAGTGATAATGAACAGAACAGCCCTGTCTGCCCTCTCTCTTCCTTGCTGGGTTGAATCTTCCCCCTCCTGTGTGATCTTGCAGAAGTCCTGGGAGCCAGCCACGGTCCCCGTTCTCCTGCTCAGTCCTGCCCAGTCCTGTCCCATCCAGCCCTGTCCACTGTGGTCTTGCCCCCGCTCTCCACTCCGTCACTGACTATTTTCTGCCCCTGCTATTATGCTTCCCTACTCATTCCATTAGTTATCTTTGAATATGTTTTCGTCTTTGCTTCTGTCTCAGACTGCAAGCCTCTTGAAGGTCCTTGTGTCTTTGTACCTTTCTTCTGTGCCCTGGGCTAAAAATTCTTCCATCTAGCAGGTACACAGTATATTTGTATACTTAAATATACTCGTATATTGGTTGGTAAATTAATTTCAAGTGCTGGTGACTACGTTTTTCTGCATTCGGGGCTGTGAGCAGAAATTCTGCATGCACAGCACTTTTGGAGGCAGATGGTTAATTATCACTGAGCCACCTACTACAGGACCCTATTTGGGCAAACATGTCCATTTATAGCAGCTGTTACTCTTAAAATACCTTCAATAGATTGACAAAAACAATGCAACAGGGTCAAAGATTTTCAATAGTAAATATTTTTGTCTAGATTTCACCAATTAAGTATATTTGGAGAGTCACTGAGATTTGAGAACCGATGTCTTTTACCCAATAAGGATATCAGAAAATTAGTGATCTGTTTACTCTACTAATCTTTTGAAATGTCTCAATTTCCTTTGAATAAGAAATAGCAGAAAGGCTGAACTGTGTGATTCTATCTGGGTTCTAAAGTCATTGTAAATCAGAAATATCCTATATTCCCCCTCAGCCTACAAAAGTTGCATTCATCCACTTATCTTTTTAAAAAAAATATTTATTTATTTAGGCTGCTCTGGGTCTTAGTTGCGGCACGCAGGATCTTTAGTTGTGGCATGAAGGATCTTTTTTCAGTTGCGGCATGTGGACTTCTTAGTTGCGGCATGCATGCAGGATTGAACCCGGGCCTCCTGCACTGGGAGTGTGGAGTCTTACCCACCAGACCACCAGGGAAGTCCCTCATCCACGTTTCAGTTTGAATAGTCAGTGATACCTAGAGGGAAATGTGCATTTTAAAATTCCAGACATGAGTCACACATTGTGTTTATCTCACGTGTATGGGGCAGTGAGTGTAGAACCTTTTCTGTGCCTGCGTTTCGTCATTTATAAAATGAGGATAATAGAACATCATAGTGTTGTTAGGAGGGTTAAATTAGTTAATATTTAATATGTAGTCTTAATGACTGACGCGTGGTAAGCACTATATAAGTGTTTGCTGAAGAAATAAAAATAAAATAAATTTAACTGTCATGGCAATGCTTTGTGGTCAGTGCTTTCCAAAGTCCTTCTGCCAAAAATAATTTAAAACTTTCATTTATTTTCTATCCTTAGATTTACAAACAGTGGATATCACCAAGCAATCTTCTCTAACCCTTGGTGGCAACTATTTGTACAGCCTAGCTGACTCAACTTTACTTGTTTTGAATAAATAAATATAATTATATCTGTCCTCAAGGCCCCTAGAAACATTTTTCCAACACCGAGTGAAAAGATACACCGCCATCTTTTTCTGGAACTGGCTAAGTCAGTTTCACACTTGACAAAGGAGAAGCTTAGTGGAATGGGAAAATGTCTTAAAATATTAATTATATATTACTGAGTTTCATAAATTTTTAAATTTTCTGAAAGGCACTAACAACAAGAACCTGTAATGACTCCAGGGAAATGACACATTTGCATTTTATTAGTTAAAATAAGTGCAGTAATACTCTAGTTTTCTGATTGTCACTGAAAAATGGACCATTTAATGTGTATACATTTTTCAGACAACTGTATCTTGGTCCTTCAATTGTAAAAACTGATCATTTTAACTTTTTTTTTTTTAATGATGGGAATAATCACTCACTTTCTATCTTTCAGATCGTATTGGAAAATATAAAAAATGCTGAACATAATGTTAGCTTTTTTGTATGGGAAGCAAGGGTCAACATTTACTTTACTAAACAGTTTTACAGTAACGTCTTCAGATATCTTGAGGCGTGAGGGGACTCTTTGCCTCTGCACTGAATGGACCCACTGCTGATGCCTTATTAAATGTTGTGCTGGGATTTTATGTTTTTATTAGTTCACAGAACACTTGTTGAGTTTCACTTGTGAGGTATCAGTGATTGAAAGTAATTAAAACTATTAGTTTCTGGGGATTAAGGAAAAGAAAAAGTAGATCAAGTCGGTGTTATATAAGGGTGCATACTTATGACCACCTGCTCAACAGCAAGGGTAGGTGCTGTTAGTGATTAAAAAGAAGGAAGATAAGAGGGGAAAGGGGGGAGAGAAGGAAGAGGAGAGGCAAAGAGTGTCTGGAAACTTCTCTTTCCCACCTGTTACTAGTACAACATGGAGACTGAACCTGCCCCAGAACTGGGAGGTTCGATGGAGACGATGGAGGGTGCTGGGTTCTGGAGAACCTGGATCCAGAGGGGCGCCACAACACAGACTCAGCTCCAGAGAACACGCTCTGGCTGCTGGTGGGTGCACCCATGCACCCTTCCTTGGTGACACCATATGGATTAGGAAAATGAAGCTGCCTTATCTTTCCATCTGGAAGGGAGTCCAAGCTATTTTAGACATTCTAGAATGTTTTCACCAAAAAGAATAGTCTGGCCCAGAAAAGTCAAATTCTGCCAGCCTTCTAACACATTGCTCACAAAACCTATTTATTGATCAGGCTGAATTTTAAAAGTTAACGGCAGTGAGTTTTTTGAGTTAGAAAAGAAACAAACAAATAAATGTGTAAACGGCCTTAAATAATATAGGAAAAATTCTGAGCATCTGACCTTGCTGTGTCCCACTTGCAGCATTAGTTAGCAAAGCTGACCTGGTAAGGCTTAATCATTGCTCTGGGATGCTCGGCCACGTGGTTCTTCTTGTCTCATACAGTTATTGCTGCATTTCCCCAGGTCTTTGAACTGATCGTGCCAAGTCAGGAGCCCACAGACATTACTGGGCCCTCAAGAGCATCTTGAGAATTGAATAATGACTACAGACATGTCTTTGGGAGAAACACAAATGTAACAGGGTTGGTTTTGACATTCATTTTTATTGGTATTGTGATTATGATCATGGTCTGTCCTTGTATCTGATCTAATTGCTTTCTAAAGCCCTCTCCAGGTGTTAATTTCTTAGCATGGGGCAACTGCTTGGGTTGGAGTCAGCCAAAGTCTTCTCCTCAACCCACTCCTTCTTTAAGGAGAAGGAGGCAGTATATTTTCATAAGAGAAGATTTTGCTAAATCTATTCCAGATATCTGCTTCTGTGACCACATCAGAACTTGATGACAAAGAAATTTTGCCAGGTATTGAAATCCAATTAACTGTTATAATCATGCTAATGGCTAACATGTGCTGAACTTTTATGCAGTAGCAGGCGTGGCTCTGAGCAGCGGACGTGCATTAATTCACTGAGTGCGGGCTTCCCTGGTGGCGCAGTGGTTGAGAGTCCGCCTGCTGATGCAGGGGACGCGGGTTTGTGCCCCGGTCCGGGAAGATCCCGCATGCCGTGGAGCGGCTGGACCCGTGAGCCATGGCCGCTGAGCCTGCGCGTCCGGAGCCTGTGCTCCGCAACGGGAGAGGCCACAACAGTGAGAGGCCCGTGTACCGCAAAAAAAAAAAAAAATTCACTGAGTGCTCCAGCAACTCCATGGTGCTAGTGTCGTCTGGTCCCAGGAGACGAATGGAACCCTGAGCAAGCAAGCAGCTGGCTTGGGGGGTCACAGACCCTGGACCTGCCCTCCTGCTACCTCATCATCATGTCTATTAGGAGTTGACCTGTGTCTCAAAATCAAGTCCAAAACAGAGGTGAGAACCCAACTGCAGGTTAAAATTACCTGGGGTGAGGGGAGGGGTGATGTACAGAGTGTATAAAACTTCATACACTTCGCCCCATGTCTATAAATCTTGAAACCTTGTGCTTTGCTGAGTCCGGCATGCAAGATAAAGTGGATTGTGGGATGACCCTACAAGGGCAGGAATTTTGTATAAATACAACATATACGTGAAAGAAGCCAGTCACAAGGGACCATGTAGTGTATGATTCCATTTATATGAAATGTTCAGAATAGGAAAATCCATAGCAACGGGAAGTGTGTTAGTGGTTGCCAGGGGCTGGAGGGAGGGGATTGGAAATGGGGAGTATTTGCTGGGGGTTATGAGTTTCTTTAGGGGATGATGAAAATATTCTGTTGATTGTGGTGATGGTTGCACAGCTCTGTGACTACTGAAAGCCATTGAAGGGTATGCTTT